AATGTGATATATAAGTCATATAAAGTTGAACCTTCCTGTATTTAAACAATAGCAATGTGTTTTAAGCTTTCCCCGTGTCATTCTTAATGGAAACCAGTATATATATAACTGATAGATAGCCCTGATCACTACACTTTGAAGAGTCTCCAGTCTCAAGGTATAGTTTTCATGATTAAAAAATATGTTCACAACTTGTAACAATTCTTACAAAAATACTTCTGAACATAATTCATAATATTCATATCAAAATATGCAAATATCTGAGAAATGGCATTGAATGTATAATGAATCATGTAGAGTAAAATTACTTCAAGTATGCCTTAATTCTCTTAAAGATGAAACAGTGAACTACTCTACTGATAAAAGTTGACCGAACATAAAAGCATTTAATTTTCAAACAAGTCACAGGGAAAATGAACCTAGAACCTAAACATTAGGATACTGATACTGCTATACATTAACTGCATCCTTTTAAACACAGCTAATATGAACCATGAATTGCTTCTCTCAATCATCTTCAGGCCTAATAAAAACTCAAGCCATACGTCTTTCCAGTGAACAAGATAGGTTGATTTTTTTAATGTGAACACTACTGTGAATTTAACCACATTATTAACAGCATTTTGTAATTCTAAGTTTAAGAAAATGATAAAAATAAAGGTTCTCTTTCAAATTTTATAACTGATGCAGAGTTACCAGGCTTTAATTCATTGACAGTAGCTTACTGCTGTGATAAAATGTTAGAATACATTTTTACATGGTCAGAGTCAGGTAAGAAAGGCTTGCTAGCTCAGGTTTTCCCATCTTAGAAATGTACACACCAATACTGCCTCTAAAATTATGGATATGAGTAGACAACACATAGCAGATACTATTTATCATCTCCCCACTGTCTTCATTATTTATATGCCCTATTTAAGTGGTCACCCATACAGAAACAACAACCCCCATATCTGTATGGACCGGAAACCTCCAATGACTCGAACTATACAGCCGTCATTTGTTTGATACCACAGCATTTCCAAAAGCAGAGCAAAAGCCACCGTGGAAGGAATGGGAACAGGAGCTACTGACAAAGACACGGCAGTCTGCTGCATGCACCGGAGGCCCAGTCACGGACATACGTGTGTGCGTCAGGTACATATATACGTGCAGCTGTAAGTAAATGTTCCACTAACCACCAACTCATTTTCAAAGTGGTGTACCCACAGGGTGAAAGTCTGCAATCCAGACTCCTTTAAGCGATGCGCTCTTCCAGGCAATTACAGCCGGAAAGGTCACTTTGTATATTACTCTACTGCACACGCACAAATACTGGTTTGTGTAATCAGACTTTCTCCAACCTCTTCCTTCCCTTACAAAAGCCAGATGCCTAGGATCCTCCTCGTCCTAGGCAAATAAGGCTTCTCTAGATCAAAATAAACTGAGGAGAATGTTCTGGACAGTGTGTGAAGAGTACAACCCGGATCAGCAGACAAATGACAGCAGGCCAAGACCGTCTACACCCATTTCTGAGAGTGAAGTGTTAATGGGACACGTCCATATCCGTTCATTCTCTTACGGAGTATGGCCACTTCTTTCCTTGAAAGGCAAAATCAACGGTCACAAAAGAGAACTTCACAAAGCCTGAAAGTTTACTATCTGGCAGTTTGAGGCAAAGGCTTGGCAAAGTTTTAGACAGCTCTTGAAATCAGATGACTTTTACGAGAGCACTTCAGTAAATCTGCAGCACACATATCCAAAGACTAAATCCATACCTAAGAGCTCTTTTCTCCCATATCCAAGGAGAGTAAACTAGGAGTAGCCATTTCAAATTACGTCATTTGCGGACAAACGACTAGTACATAGAAAGTTTAAAAGCACATGAAATGATTCCTTTATCTAAAGAAGTAGTAATATTTTCAACACATACAAAGCTTTGACCATACCCCGAACCACTTGTTTGTAGTTTTCGCCAATACTCTTACATTATGTATTCCAGTGCTGATTAGATCACGGACTCCACGCTACCCCATCTGTTGTACTAGGGAGCTCACTCTAATATCCAATGACTGTACATAAGGAAGTTTCAGAAGTGCAGTTTAAACCATAAGGTCCGCGACAACACTGTTTCTAAGGGGGTGATAAAGATTCCAACCAACAGGATAAATACCCACAGAGTAGTAAGTTTTAAATATAACCAGGGATAACCTGATACAAAAACATGAGTAACAATTAACTGTTCCCAGTTACTTTGTATTTCGTTAATTAAAATATGACTTTCAATGACACTTTCAATACACTGACACTGCTTGGAAGGAGCACCTTTAGTACCACTTTGCACAACAATTTGTCCGGCTGTTTTGTTTTGCAGCCCTGAGGACACAACTCAGGCCCTTCAGAGCTACACCCTCAGTGCCCTCCCTTTCAGTTTCACTTTAGGACAGGGTCTCACGAAACTGCTAACCTGAGCCCATCCTGGCCTCAAACTTGTGCTTGTCGGGTCAGCCTCCCTGGCTGCTGGGGTTACAAGCACGTGCCACCACACCCAGCTTATACAGCCAAGATTTTAAACTTTTTAAAAATTGAAAATACTGGGCTGGGGATTTAGCTCAGTGGCACAGTGCCTGCCTGGCAAGTGCAACGTCGTGAGTTTGATTCCCAGTACCAGAAAAATACCAAAAAAAAAAAAAAAAAAAAAAAAAAAAAAAGGTAAAAATTGAAAATAAGTAGGACTATTACTCCCAAAACATCAAGAAAAATCATAAAATCATCAAAACACTAATAGGACATAAAAAAACTACTGTATCTTTGTAATTTCAATTTCCAAAAGAAATTATCAAAAATACTTAGAACCTGCCATATAAACTAACAATTTTGAGTACTTCCAATCACTCAACTACTTTCTATAAAATAAGACATTTTCCTAGTTTCTGCTATTCTTTGTACACAAAGCACTTTTGTAATCTGACATGTATTACGTCAATATTTCAGAACACTACTTTAAAAACAAGAATAAAATTTCAATTGTCTTCTTCAGACTAGTTTAAGAATGTTCCAAAAAAGTTGTTAAAAAATAAGTTGTACTACAAGGCCTAGTTAATTATTATAACTAAGACAACAGTAATGTTAACATTTTGAGAAACATTTAGGTCAATTGTATGACTGTTATTTTATGAATGACAAATCTGCGTAACACAGTAAGAGCAAAACTCAAGAAATATAAGTCAAAGAAATTTTATCACTTTATAATTACATGAAAATAATTTTTAAATTTTTAAAATTGAAACATTCATATATAGCTTTCAAAATTACCTGTGGTATGGATTAATATTTAAATTACATCAAGGCAGACATGACGCAAATCATTTTATTTCTTAGAAGCACACACATTTGTGAGCAATAAACTCGAACAGAGTTGCTTCAGTGATTCGAAGTTTTGCCTCGTCTTTCCCCCCGACTACTGGTCTAGAACTGAATTATCTATCTTCATGTATTCACACATGAAATCTACTATGTACCAGCTTACTGCAGAACACACCTTATGAAAGATTTTATGCATTTGAATTTACTAATAGTTTTTAATTTTTAATTTCAAATATATTTTAAAAGCCCTTATGTGTATGTTAATTTAACATAAAAACATACAGTTACTAGTAATTCAATGAATTTTAAAAATTTTACAGTCCCATTAACTATACAATATTGTATCACAGGGCGGAAATGAGACACAAAGGTATACCAAAATGAAACACCAATTTCTTAACAAATAAATCAGACTAAAAACTTTCATTTCTGTTAAACGCTTTTTCTGAAATAAAATATGAACCAACAGAGTAAGCAATTGAAAAATGACTGAGAATGCAAACTACATGTTAATTATTTATAAAGAAGTACAAAGAAGACAAAGTTGAAGTGACTTGTTTAAATCTCATGTTAGTTATAAAAAGTCTGGGCCTTTCCAACCCCCCACCCGGGGTAGTGAAGGCCCGAGACTCTGCCCTCTCTCCGAGTACTGAGGACTCAGCCTCAGTATGCTGCTTCCTGTTCAGAGGCCACTAGACACAAACAGCAATGGCAAAGGAGTGAATGCGACACTGTCCTCCAGGCCAGCTCTCGAGGGGAAACTCAGTTCTGGCCCGTCTCCCCAAGTTTCTCACAGGGACGGTGAATCACAGGAAGGGGCTGCAGAGGCAGTCGGGCTACCCCACAAAGTCACGTTGGAACTCCGCTCCTGCACTAAAACTTTGTTCCATAAAGTGACTAAGCGTGTGTTTCCTATCCTTTCTGGGACTTTCTCTCTTTAAAAACATGACAAGTGATGCAGAAAAATGGAAGATGTGAAAGCCCTCCAGATTTTCCACAATTTCACGGTTCCTGGGCATCGGCATAGGACGATTCCTTGCTCCACAGGACCGTCAAGGCAGATCTGCGTAAGATTACACACCAAACCGACTCCTGCCAGCCCAAGGGCCAAGGCCAGGGCAGCACTTCTCCAGGAGAGTGTACGTTCAAAACAACGGTTCTGTAACTTGCACAAACACAGTCTTAACAAAAGATGCATCAATGCATTATATGACAACTTCTTCTGGGTATATAACAAAGTGCCTGGATATTTTAAAGGAAGTCATCTGAAAGCTGCCAGGTACCATACTTCTGTTATAAATAGAACTATTAAATTACTGTCCAAAAGGTTTAAAACCAGGTCAAGAAAATACTGTAACCACAAGCAACTTTATGGTTTATCACCAGAAAAGCTACTTGTATATTGACAAACAGAAATGTATTCGTAAGTGCTAGAAGTATAAAGTTATTAAATTTTATTTATAATTTACTATAAAATTACAGGGACTAAGGGTAACTTTCCTAATTTTTTCTCATTTTATAACACATTAATTTTGGCTACATTCAACTGAGCGAGTCAGGATCCATAAATAATAAGCTAACAGTGTTTAAGAACAGAAAGATTACACATATCTATCAAGTGCTTTCAAAGCAATAGTACAGGAATAAATACTTACTTATCAAAGCTATCACTATGTTTGATGAAACTCTCCAGCTTTTCCTTGGCATATTCCACCACATCTGAATGAAGTTCAATTCCATGATTTATTCCAAAAGGACCTGCAATTGTAGCAGCATTTTTAAAAAAATATTAATAACGTGCCCTTACAAAGCTCTCTCAATGTCTGTTCACTTATCTACCACAGGAATGTTTAAAGAGAGCTGGGAATATGGAATCACTTGCTGACCACACATGTGAAAGGCGAATGGAAATCAATTCACATTCATGTAAGAAAGGAACAAACAGAAGTTTGCTTGATCTTTCTACCAAAAAAAATACTGGTGTGCGTAAGGTTGAAACCTTCAGAGGCCTGCAAAGGCAGTCAAATCACACAATACCACCGCCAAAAGGATCGTTCCATATCCACACGGGGTTACTATTATTTTACATCTGTTCAAAACTAGTAACTCTCTGACATCGTGAGCTGACACAGACAATGTGGAAGTCAGAAGAGCCCCACTGCCAGCCCGTGACTGCTAAGCGTCTCCAGGGCTAAGACCCCCACTGTGTGCCTTTTGGAGGTCCCAGGACTCAGCAGAAAGTGGCAAGGATCTGATTGGCCCCTCCTGTTCCAGTGTATTTCACCCTACTTGTTACTTCTTTCTCCACCAGAGCACAGACGGAGTGACCCGCCAGGAAGAGGTGAGAAGAGGGCTTTCTCACGCCCCTCACCCATTTTCGTAGATGAGGGCAGGCAGCTCTTCCCAGGCTGACACTAGCTCCTTGAGAACAGAAGGACAGTTTTCTTTCTGCCCACGACCAGCAAGAAAGTAACAATGTCATGTAGGCACGCTAGTTCTTCTGCAACTTCTGAAATCCACTCAGCCACATTTTCTACTTGACACTGTTTTTTACTGTAATTCGAGACTGGTCTCCTAAGAAAGTGTCTATTTTCTGCATTTTTAGGAAATGTATTTCCTAAAACATATTCTGGAGGTGCCCCCTAGTGAATGTCATTAAAAATACAGTGCACATTGGAGTTCTCATGATCAGTAAGCACTTTGAAATTAACAACAAAAAAATCAGTCACAAATCATCACGCTTGGATGTGGTCTGTGACCTAGGAAATACCCAGAACATAAAAATTTAACCAAAATGTTCAGACAGAATCTTCATGCCAAAAACACAGAAGGATAATGCTTTAACTTGCTATGCTGCTGTCCCATTCTATTTGCTTTTTGGCTGTACTGGAGATTGAACCAGGGATTTCAAACTGAGCTACACCCACAGCCCCGCCCCCTTCTTTGAGACAGGGTCTCACCTAGCTAGGCTTGAACTTTGGAACCTCCAGCCTCCCACAGAATCCAGACTGCTGGGATTACACTTGGGTGCCTACATGCCTGACTTTGGTGTTGTTTAAAACAAAACCTTTTTTTATCCTACTTTAAAAATATACTTAGAAAGTTAGATTAAATTAAAAACTACTTGATTCAGCAGATCACAACAAAGAAAATAAACTTCCTTTGCAATGTTTTTATATTTTTAAAAATGAACTAAGGCGATCTTAAATGTTTTGCTTCCTTTTTGGGAGTTCTTTCAACTGGTAAAGGCTTCACCTAAAAATTGGAACATCAGTCCAAAAATTATGTAAGATCTCATATAATTCCTTATTATTACTATAGATAAACTGGGCAAAACCAAAACAATTTTTTTTTAAAAAGTGCCAACCTCAGTGGCAGAGTACTTGCCTGGCACGTGTACCAAGACCATCACCAAAAAGTGCCAAAATATTTAATGTAGGCACATACGGTAGTATAACTTTTAAAATATAGTATTGAACCTGAATACTTTGAGAACCTAAAATTTCCATAAGGGTCAACATACAGAATATTAGGAAAAACCAAATAAAGTGGTATTCTTCATGTAAAAAAAAAAACCCAAACTAGAACACGGTAACTCATGTTTGCAATCCAGGCTGTTGGGTAAGCGAGGCAGGAGAAACACAAACTTGAGACCAGTGTGGGCAAACTAGAAGACCCTGTCTCCAAATGAAAAATAAAAAGAACTAGGGATATGTTCTGGTAGCAGAGCGCCCCTGAGTTCTATTTTCAGTACGACCAAACAAAAGCAAAAAAAAAAACCCAAAACTTCAGTGAAAAAAGATTAGGGCTGCACAGAGAAAAGGTCAATAAAAAAGACCTATGCTGCTGGCACTCTGCACTTCCCGTAAGACCGAAGACACACAGTCAGTAAACAGGTGCTGGGGCTGGGGATTTAGCTCAGCGGCACAGCGCCTGCCTGGCAAGTGCAAGGTCCTGAGTTTGGTTCCCAGTACCGGAAAAAACCTCCCCCGCCAAAAAAACAGGTGCTGAGAAATTAAGACTTCTACCCTTTATTTCTGATCATCTTATTAAAAGAAGTACAAATTTCAGCATCTGTGTCAAAAGGAGAAGGCAGCTATTCCTTATTAAAGATGCCACTGGTCTCTTTATCCTTTCTGCTGTCTAAAAACAAAATGGTAATTTTTAGATGCAGGGCTTAAATGTAAGAAAATTTCTGAATATTTTTTCACAATAATGTTTTTCCTATTACCTTGACACAAGATGGTTAACAACAAGAGACAAAAATAATTTCATTAATTTATAAAAGGTTTCACAAATACACATATGTAGAACACATTACTATCTACAGTAAAAAACCATGTATTTTTTTTATGTATGTTTTAAAAATGAATGAAACTACTTAATTTTAAGGTAACATGGAGGAATATCTTAATCATTACTTAGTAGTCTGAAAATTAACACTGAAAATTAAAAATATGAATTATATTAATAAAAGGCAGAATTTAAATAACAATGTCACTAGTATGTCATTTATTTAGAATATGATATACAACTAGAAAACATCAAATGTATATAAAAATGCAGTGCAATACTGATTATTACAACTCAGATTTGGTATCTGCATTAAACAACAGAAAATAAGACACAGAAAACAGAAAAAAATATACACAGCTGCTTATGAGAAAGGGGACTGAAAAAGGTTTAGGGTAGAAATGAACATTTTCATCAATATAGGCTTTTGTCAGAAGTATGCTTTAACCATACATGTGTAACTTTTTCCATCAAAAAACAATGGGACAGTGAAAGAATTGAAAAATCAGTAAGAGTATAAATGTCCAAATAAACAAATAATATTATATATATCTAACAGAAAGGTATAAGTTATCAATGGAAAAAATGAAACAGTACTTAAAATAGGCTATGAACAGGTCAGATAAAGCATGAATTTGATTTTGTACTGAACAGATTCCAATGTTATGAAACATTTTTCTATGACATAAAGAATTAATTTTGTAACAGATTTTTCAAAAGAGAAAATGCTAAGTTGCCCACTACCTTTAACAGCTGAATATTAAAGAGAAAAACAGAAGAAATATACACAGAAGTCAGTTTATCAAAACAAATACATTTATTAATAAATATCTATGTATATTATACAGTACTAGAAATTATTTTAAAAGACTGGCAAAAGCCCATTTATTGTAAATAACAACAAAGAGAACAAAATTTCAATATAGTACCTACAGACTTTTTTATGTAGTAACGGAATCTCATAAACCTCATTTATCCTCCAATGAGTCCATCAGCCAAAGCTGATCCATAAAGGCCAGCAAGTATTAGGTCAGACACCAACTGTGTGTGCAGTACCTGCATTTCTCATCTGCGCCTCCACCAGCCTCAGGTCAGTCAGATGTGTGACAGTGCGGTGTGGCCGAGTCCTGCCTGACACAGACCAAGGAAACCCGAGTGCTTCATTCTAAATATGAATGCAGCCAACTAGGTCTTCAGTTTGTGTAAAACTTGTTCACAGACAAAGCCACAGACAAAAAGCATTTTATCAAACATAACTAGAACTCTGGAGAGAAAACCGTTCAAGGTCTCTCATTTCAGCTGAGGACTCAGGCGGAAACATTGGAGTGGTGAGAAAGGGGATTTGAAATCAGACATCTCGATTCCCAGTCTTGCTTCTTCCTCTGAACTGCTGTCCAATCTAAGACCATTCAGTTACTGTTTTCAAGACTGATTCTCACTACATAAGAAGAATCCCTGGGATGATCCTGTAAAGTACGAGGCAGGTAACAAACTACTGTCAGAGACTATGATACGCCCTCCCCAGATGTCTGGTTGTAGAAGAAGAAAGCATAACCCCGACTACACATTAAAGTGACCTGTAAAGATTTAAATTGAACTTACAAAGCAGATGGAATGTTACTTGACTGTAACTGTGATGTCTGCATCCTAGCCCAGAGAGCCAAAGCAGACTGCGGGCAGGAGCTGGGCGGCCCAGGTACACGCAGGTGAGCTAGCATGTGCCTGTGACGCCCGTCACATCCGCCAGCTGCTATACAACGTCCAATCTAAATGACTTTTCGGACGTATTTCAGATTATCCAAATCTCTCTTCTCACTGGTAAAGTAACATCAAGATGGTAAATCACAGTATTCCGGGCTAAGTCAGTGTTCACCACAAGGGGGAGTAGATGAATCAGTGATCTGGTTTCTGCGAAACTACTATGTAGTCGTGAGATAAACGCACACGTGTAAGAACATCTTTCAGTAAACTGCAATATTTTATTACTAACTTTAGTCACATAACAAAGTTTCCCTGGGGAAATTTGTTAAGGAGACAAGACCAGGTTTCATTCTTTTTTCCAGTAAATAGCCTGCAACACAGACATAAAATACTACGTAAGTAGATAAGGGGAAAAAATAGAATTAGCAAATGGTCAAATAATCATACTAGGTAATTAAGAGAAACTGCTCTCATGTACTGCTACTTACTAACATTTTTTATTCTTTTAAATTTTTACATCCTATGTAATACTGAAAAAGCATGTTAAAAGCAAACATTATCAAAACTTCTACTGAATCTTGCCATGCCAGCTTAATTATTATGAAGCACACGGAACTACAGACTTGTTCTCTGCTCTTGAGGGTTGGGAAAGGCCTCCTGAGACAAACACCAGAAAGAAGCTGCAATCCTCAAGTCCCCTCTCGGTCCACGGACACGCGAGAGCTACTTCTTTCTATCCCACATGAATCTCACAAGTATGTTTA